GAAACTCTAAGGGGTAGATCGGATTCTGCCTAAAAGGGATTGAAAGTGCAGGTGCTGGTTCATACAGCCTGTTTTTAGCGCCAATTACCGCCTTGAAGATCGCGAAGCAAGGGCGACCTCTTGGTTCAAGATAATTCATCACAACATGTTCGCCTGCCGCAATCGCAGTCGTGCCCGGCCTGAGGGCTCATTCAGATTTGACACACTCAACGAGTCAACGTTGCCAATGGTCTCATAAAGTGACGATGTAGGCCTAGAAGGGCTCACTAATTTGAAGATAATCAGCGAGCTACTGTGTACACAACGGGAATGAGGAATTCCAGCCATTCCATATTTTTTGTTTCTTACACCTCGTTCAAATATTGTTCCATCTTAGCAAGCTATGATCACATAAATGTAGTACCATGCGCACAAGGTGAGGGAAACCTCAAACGGTTTAGTTTACCCACCTTGACCTACCTTTAGCGCCGACAACTTCCTCCTGATGTACGTGTTTTCAATGATCTGTACTCTGAACAGAGTCATTCTCCAGAACTGACAAAATTCACGGTGGTTCGTCTCACTGCGGGTTCAGATTTGATCGTTGAGTCTTTGCAGCATAGCTTGCGGTATAATACCCCGACACATATTCTCGTCCTCATCTTCACCGACCATTGATTGAAATCATACCCTCTCTATCAGGTTAGCCTCATATATATGTATACCATGCTCACTTTCTCAATGGTAGCAGATTTCAGCGTTGAACAATGTCCACCTTCGCGAACCCGCCTACTGGGTGGCAACCAGGCCCTGACTTTCGGGGCACGTTCAACATTGTTTCTACCTGTCTGACGACTCTCTTGTTTTGTCTCTGGAGTGCTGTCCACGTCGAGATTCCGGCTCACTCAGGGATGTTGCGTGGACTCTGGGTGAGGCTGGGCTGGATTTTCGTGGGATTGGTTACTCCGGAAACATTGCTCTTCATTGCTTATCGACAGCGGACCATTGCCAGGGCCCTTCTCAGCGATGCAAACAAGTGTGAAGCATTTCCTCTCCCCGATGCACCCAAGCCTTGGTACTATTGGGCAACGGAAGCCGTTGGAATACGACAGGAATATGAGGAGGTATGTTTATACGGCAGATGTGAAATATTATATTGATAACACGCAAAGGTTCAGGACCCGAAACCCAAGTGTACTAAAAAGTATTGCTGGACAATGATACACAGCTATTATGCTGCGATGGGTGGATTTGTGTTTGATACTACAGAGACGGACGAGGGTGATGCAGCCAAACCATTTCTTCCAGAGTCATACGGCGAGTCAGGTCGTGCAGTGATTACACCGGAGGGCATCCAGTTTCTCTTGAAGCACAAACCAGAGCTACTTCCAGATTTGTCTGTCGAAGAGATTTCGGATCGAAACAAAGGAAACAGCCTTTCGAAAAGCGTTCTGGTCGTTCAAATTTCCTTTTTTGTCATAGATTGTATAGCTCGTAAACTGCAGGGCTTACCCATCACCCTACTGGAGGTTACAACCGTGGCACACGCGTTATGTTCTTTGCTGGCATACGTTTGCTGGTGGAGCAAGCCACTCAGCGTCAATCAGCCTGCATTCATCCGTGGAAAAGAGGCTAGGGAGACATGTGCTTTGATGTGCATGGCTAGTACTGGAAGGTACTACTTCCTAGCAGGATATCTCATGGTCTGGCGTCCTGCCGAACTTGATAGTATGTACTATCATGGTATCTCTCCCAAGCTCGAAGAACCATCTCTTTCCCAAACCCCAACGAACTCTACCATTGATTTTTCACCTTCTTCATCAAGTTATTCGAAAGATGGCATGTTGCCTTGGCTAGACAGGACGGTAGGAAACTGGGCCCTAGGACGCCAGCCTTGGTATAGAAGAAGACAGCGTGTTTCTGGTGACGTTGAATATGCGCAAGACGGTGTTACAGATCCACTAGACAAAGACAAAGAAAGATGGATCCTTGCTTCAGTCGCTGCGAAGAAACTGATGTGCGCAGTTCAGCGCCTTCGAAAGCCGCTTGATCCTCGCACAAAGGAATTGCGCTATACAGATGCCTTGGTGTCTCCCACGGCCGGCTTATCCGCGTGCTTAAAGTATCGCGGTGGGAACCCACGCAAATTCACACTGAACGAGGAAGACCCAGGACCATTCGCGGCCACGGTTCTGGCAATTTTATTTGGATTTCCTAGTATGATTGCTTGGAATTTTACTTTTCCTACACCCTTCGACCAGTTCCTTTGGCGAGGCGCGGCCATAGCGGCAGTGTTCAGAGGAACCGTTTACTGGGCTGCCCGCAAAGTTGGGTTATGGGCTACTAAGCGTACCCCAAATCGATTCGTGAGGAAGGCGGCAGCGGTGATTCCAGTGACTTTGTTGATGGCTCTGCTCATTCCGTCGAGCATCATATTGGTTTTCGAGAGCTTCAAGCAACTTTACTATCTGCCTCCCGCTGCATATCAAGTTCCAAGCTTCTCTAGATATTGGCCTCATTTCTAGTGGAAAGTAAGATGATCTGGTATTTTTCGCTTTTCTGCAATATCTCTAGTTCACAGATTGGACATTTATTTACATACTGATCTTAATATACACAAGTTCGCATTAATGATCGCATTAATGAATGGATTAAGAACTTTCACGGAATTTGTGGATAAGGAGACCTCTCAGAAACATTCGACTTGCAAGAGTACACGCGAAGCACACGACTTTGCAGCAGAACTAAAGAACAAACCCGACAAACCTCCGGGTCTCGATTGCACCACCTCATCATATAATAATCCGGGCTTCTGATATCTTCTGAGCCTCCTGGTAGCCGCACTTTCAACAAATGCGCTTCCTCGATCAATCCTCCTGTTTTCCGTTTTCAACATCTTTTTTTCGAACAGGCAATTGAATCGTAATTTAACCTTCTCCACCGTCCCCACGTTAGTTTCCGTACCTCCTTAATCTTCCGCGACCATTTCATCAACCGTGATTACCTCTGGATCTTGCCATAGTCGCAGTATAATCCAAACCATTCAGTCACTACGACTGTTCGATCTCAATTTTGACTTGTGGACCCCCATTACGTTCGATCACCACCGTCTCTTCCTGCAACTTCCCATTCACTGTAGCCCCTTGCTCCGCTGCTCCATATCTGTCGGGTTCCGCTTTTCCAGATTTCTTGTCCCCGTCCCCAACCGTATCTACATGCTCTTCAGACGTTCCAGCCACACCCTCCGCCCAGTCAATTTTTGCCGCAGCCAAGGTAAGAGTAGAATTCGTGGTCGTAGCGGAGTCAAGGTTCTCGTCCTTGCTTTCCACGGTGACTGATCTCGATGTAGTTGCTTTGGACTTGGAGGTTGTGGTTTTCTTCGTGGCTTTCACCGCAGCCTTGGTGGTTTGGCTGGGTAGTTGCATGCTCGGACATAGTCCTTCGATACTACTCAACGAGCATTCTGAACATTTGGGTTTGACAGGGCTGCAGATCGTCTAGTGGTTTGAAGATAGTAAGATCACGATGACATGAGCGATGGTTAGAATGCGACAGTACCGTACCTGCCCGAAGCCAACGAGAAGGTGGTTTATCGTCTGGTGAAGCTCACGAGGTAACCATGATTCCAAGTTGATTCTTTGAATAATGTCAGATGAAAGTAAGATAACAGTGGGATAATGTGAAAACCCGAGGGGTTGATTGATACGAGTGGACAAGGAATTGGTGGAAAGCTCGGACATGCAAATTTATAGAACTAGAAGAGTCAGGATTAGAATTCACCTCGTTTCTTCTGGAGTTTTGGTCGGTGGATTGTGCCACCCCAGGCGGTTTGTGATACGATGAACGTGAACATCGACGCCGATCCCCATGTTTCTAAAAATGAATTTGATTAATCAAAAGTTCTCGCGCTATGAAGGAAGATTCGAGGACCGAAAATTCCAGGTTTTAAAAATTACCAAGAGACAAAGCGAGATAACTTACAATCCCCATGCACTCCCCAACGTCAAGTACGCCATCTTCTTTCCTACACCGGGCAGGTCCAACAGTTCTTCAATTGTCTTTGGTATATCTCCATCATACTTGTCTCGACAAATCACAGCAGCTTTCTGGATATACTCAGTCTTTCGACGCCAGAATCCGACTTTGTTTATGGAATCTTGGACAAGGGACGGAGGAGCAGAAGCTAATGCAATAGCAGAAAGACCGGAAGAACCGAGGGCACGGAGGGCGGAGCGCAGGTTAGAAATGGCTGCGTGCGTGACAACGTCTTTGGTTTGAGATGAAAGCATTAGGGAAATCAGGATAGAGAATCGTTTGTTCTGAGTGAATACCACCTATAAGTCAGAGGGCAGGAATGAGCGACGGAAGTGATGCACCTTGTCTTCACCGTCTTCACCTTCACCTTCGCCAGCGATACTGCAGCCCATCGTATCAACCGCAGCGTCCCAAGCACAACCAGAAGGCGTATACCGCATCTCATGAATAAGGTCGTATACCTGGCGCCAATTTGGAGGTGCGGGACGAGCAGCACTAGAGGCAGAATCAGAGTTGGTTCGCTTTAGTTTGCGAGGAGATTTCGGTTCAGAGGATTTGGTTTTTCTTCTTGAAGATGAACTAGTGCTGGAGGGCGACTTTGTCTCAGAAGAAGGGTTAGAAGATAGTCTTGAAGGAAAACACGGTTCATCAACACGTTTAGTTCGTTTCAGTGGACGAGCCTCTTCTTCCTCTGATTCACTTTCTGCTAGATTTCTGACGAGTTTTCTCCTCAAGGGGGTCGAACCACACATCCTGTTCGATTCGTTTGGTTCAGGTTCGCGTCCATTCGGCTCAGGTTCGCGTCCATTCGGCTCATGAAGCTCTCTTTTGAGTTCAAACAGCGTCACAGAATCGTTGAAAGTGCTCGTACGAGATGTTAGGTTGAGCATTGGGAATGGCCTGGAACTGGTTGCTTTAAGACTCTTACGATGGAGTCGCAAGTAAAAGGACATGTTATAATATTAATATAGCATACGTCGTTCATATCCCTGGTAGTATATCGGTTAGTACACGCGCCTGTCATCGCACTTGTAACCGCGCGAAAGCTGGGTTCGACTCCCAGCCAGGGAGTATATTTTTCAATATTTATTTTTCGATAGCTCTGGTTCGCATATCAAGGAATCTCAATTTTGTACTTCCTACATGGTTTGAGTCTTTGAATGTTGAAGGTCGTCTCTGCCTTACCCCCCGACTCGAGGGGATACTGAACTGCCTTAATCCCCAGATCCTCGGATATGAGCAACTTGCAAGATTCATAATCTGAGGTGATAGAACTGATATCAAACATTGACAAAGTACCACACGACGGTCACTAGCGTGACTAGTAGACCCACTATCGATCCTTTCGAATTCAACTTTAAGATGTTGGTCACCATCTGGGTTCGCAACCGTATTGCGAGCCTTTGCGGAACGAGCCATCGCTATGATTTTAACGGGTCTTCAATTTTACAACATGCTATCTATAATCTAGTATCTACCTACGTCCTAAGAAAATTTGGCTACTACCGAATTATATTCGGACCACATATGACGAGATTCAAGCTTCATGAAGAAGCACGGTCTTTTGCTAAAAACGCCAGCTCGCTACTTGACGATGTGAACTGCGCCATTCAACACTCTTCAGAAAATATATATAGACGGGGTACTCAATAACCTGTTAGTCAGATGACTGTACTGCCATATATGTATATGACACCTACAGCCGTATCGAACATAATAAGATCTCCCTCGAGACTCGAGATATGAATATTCAATGCCATATTATGTGCTTCTTGGACTCGAGTAGCGTGGATATTTTATGTTCGTATTTAGAATCGAAGCTGCGGAACGATTATAGTTTCTCTTTCGGTCTCTGCTCCCCACGTCAATCATTTCATGTCCATGGAACTCTCACTGTGAGATCGACACTGCTTCCGGCGACTTATAACAGTCGACTGAAAAAGTTCCACAAGCACCATTCCGCCTTTAAGTTCCTGCATATCCGTAACTCCTCAGAATATGTCTTCTTCGAGAACAGTATGGGGTTTTGACTTATCAGAGCCACGCTGGAGTGCTTTCAAAGGGAAGAACATGTTCGACAAACGTTGGCCGCACCTTCGCCGTGAACGCTTGAGTATGTATCTTGCCTTTACTTCGATCCCAATCATGACTGAACGGTTCCTGTTTCCCAGTTGCTTATCAGTTAACCCAAAACATTAGCATTGGAGCCACTATTCCTGCAACTCTCTCTCTGTCAAAATATAGGGATCTAAGAACTAATGTGCAGCAATATGCCTTGACCAAGTTCGGTTTGGAGGTACTTGCAGATTTTATATGCCAAACTTGAATGAATCATCAAACGAGTTCGATTGCTTCATATAGGTCGAGCTTCACGTTGACGACATTATTACCGCAAATATTCTCACTCTCACCTTCTGTGCATTCGTCTCCTCCCTGTTTGCTCTTGAATTCATCATACTCGTGTTATGGCCTCGTCGAACATCATACCCAAAGTGGTACAACCGTACACGGATGATTTTGCCCGCCATCATGACCACGGGTCTCCTTTTGGCTGCTATCGTCGATACTGTGCGTCTCTGTATATTATCCCTTTCTCTTCCCTTAGTATTCCATCATGAACAGATCATGGTATTCAGGCACTCTGGCTTTATTACGGGTGCGTCAGCTGAAGTGCAAGAGCAATTGACCACTTTTTTCTTTCGCCCACCGCTCAGTATGTAAAACCTTTGCAGTTCACAAATTCAAGAAGGGCTGAAAGTTATGCATTTGCTCAGAATACATGTCATATCCCGCAAACTTTGCCTCTGTTTGCTTTCTCTGGATAGCCTGGGTTTGTGCAGTCATAACGTGAGTCCGTTTCATCCTCAACTTGAATCAAATGCTTGAGATGATTTACCTTCTCTCATGGAATATTAATAGTACCATCCTTCTGATCATCGGTGTAAGACGCGAGATGAATGCTGGCAGCCAGACACGTCAGATGCCACCTGCACGAGTCGCTCAAGTCTCAGAAAACGAGAAACCAAGTAATGAATTCTCTGAGGAGCCGTCCAGACTGTCAACGCCATGATCTTCTCAGTTGTGCGTAGATATAAGTAGAACTTCGTCAATGGCCTTTGCGGCTCTGAGGATAGTAGAGGCTGCATGTTTCAATCGACGAACTTCAAAGGACGTGACTTTAGCTTGTTCGATCTACTCGAATTTCTGTACACGAAATAGGATAATCTACTACATACAAAAATGCTGTGTAACTTTCGATAGGACAATCTCTAGGGCGTTGAGATAGTAGGAGATCAACGATCAATACTTACGGCATAGTTTTCGGCGAGAGCACTCGAAAATTAAATCCCACAAAGAGTTTAGAAAATACTATCTTGTACAATTATACAAACATCACTCCTAATCGTTGCGTAAAAACCTATTCCTATCACAAAGGGTCTTCACTAACCACGACATCCAATGAGAAGCTGCCAGGCCTAGAGATACTCCGTCGAGTTTATCGTCAGGGTAGGGTCAAGATGCAATCTAAACTTGCGCTGATACCATTGTCACACTGCCCATCATGCAAACCTGTGGGAGCCCCATGATGAGAGGTACTTAGAGCCAGACAGGAGGTTGCATTTTCGTGGGAATTGCGCCCTTTGCCAAATTGCATGTTCTCCAAAAAAAATCATGCGACATACGAGATTGGATCGACCTTGATGATTAGCAGATGCTCCGTATCGTACTACTGCCTCTGCGCATTGATGCCTGACAGGCCTGGCCAGCTACGACTCCAAACTTCCTTCTCGAACAAAACAGCCAACAGCCAATCTTGACTATGGAAGACCATCTTATTCGATGTACATTCGAGAACGAACATCCAACGGACGAAAAAAATTTGATGGCGTTTCTGTTTTGACCATGATCGTGCAGCCGAACCAGCTTAGAAGGTTCAAGCTCGTCCGATCTAGTACCAGGATTGACATCCGACATTGCCAATTGGTAGAAGAGCGTCGGGTGTGTAAGATCATGCATCTGATGGCATGATGATATATAAGCCCTCTTCTACTAGTACCAGCGCCTGAAACACCCCAAGTCTTAGCTTCATCCCTTTTTTCACTTCACTGCCGGCCAGTTGAACTCGAGCTTTGTTGATCAAAAAAAAAAGTGTCTACTCTCTTCCTCTCAAGCTGGCTTCTTCCTGACATCTCATTTCTCCAAAGATATCCACCCCACGTTTATCTTGACTCTCTCGAACTTTCCAAATCGTCTTGATTCTTCCGATATGTTCTTCAGAATCTACCTCATATTGATTCTCGGACTTGTTCTTGTTCATAATGCTGCTGCTACACCTATTGATAACTCAAAGGGTGATGAACCAAAGGAGCTACCGCTTTCAAAACAGTTGAAGTTAGCAATGGCAAGTTATACCATCATCATCGCGACCATTATACTCATTGAAGTTTTTCGCCAAACTTATAGCAAGGACCATCGGCATTCGATGTCAACAAAATTCAAGTGGTGTTCATACACGAAAAAAACGGCGAATCGTTGTCAAACATGGTGGGCTTTATCAAAGCTGCGATAGGGGATAAAATACAGGAATCAACACACCAGAAACCGTCTTTTGTTGTATATCCCGAACCATACCTAATCCCCGGTCAAAAAGTGATCAGATTCAAGTTCAAGAAAGCTGAAGATGAATCTCATTCAGAAGGGCATGTTACATTCTCGGACAATGAGCTGTCTATTGATTCGGAAGTCGAGGTGTTGTTGACTCCGTTCTATCCTACCATAAAGGTCACACCTCCGAATCACTAAACAGTAAGCAAAATTCTCGTCTGTTGATGTGTTGAAATCGCATAGATTGTGTTTCATTGGCGTGGCGGTGGGGCATAGAATTTCGAAGGGACGGGGAGAAGTTGATCATGCGCATATGTATCGTAGGCTAGAATTCCTCAGCTCTCTTGAAGGCGAGCGTCTGCAATATATGTGTTTGGTGGCGTCAAAAGGGTTGGAGTACTACAAACGTGGATACATTCCGACTTTGGATACCTGTCGCCAGACTTCCTCTCTCAGAAGCCTGCCAGAAGCTGCACTGAACGTTAACGCCAGATATTCCGTAATTCCAAGGGAAAGCTCATTGAATTCTGATCACCAACCCACCGTCGGTGTACCAGGACATGGTGTTTCCTGCATTCGTCTCGCAATTCCAAATCGTTCATGTGCATATCCTGGACCGTTGTTATTTGATAAACTCGTTATCATGACTCATGAGTTTTTTTGCTCTGCACAACAGGAGACAACAGGCCCAGTAAAAAGCGCACAAAGCTGCGTCTTGAATCTTGATATAGAGTAGAGATTGATAATCTTTGATACTCCGTTCCATTTCCATCATTCAGGGTCGGCTAACCTCAGGTATACTTATAAAGGCATCATTTCATGGAACACTTCAGCAAAGCCCCAATTTTGTTCTAACAACGTGCTGGTAACGTTGAAGGCATTCTACGACTTTCACGACTCAATATATATCGATTCACGACGCTCGAAAGCGCAGATATTCTACTCCCTTTATTCCCCGTTCTCTCCGTTGTAAATGGCCTCAAAAACTACTCATTCCTTCGCCGCATCGTTCTCGCTCGTCCTTCTCGTGCTATCTTGTGTTTCTGCTGTTCCGTTGGCACGGGAACAACCTACTGGAGGAGCGATTTCTTTACCTCCGCGCGTCGCGCCGACCAACCCCGATGGTACTTTCAATCACGATGCTGCCAAGCGTCTTAATCGTAGGGTGATCGAAAAGCATCGTCAGAACTTGATGAATCTCGAAAAAAATTGTGGCGGATTACCTGAGGTTTGTTTGTTTTGCCTATGTTTCGATGTTGAATAACTCATCTACGCCCGTTTCTCATCCTTGTGTGTTCTCCAGGGAATCAAAATCCCGGACCTTGCTGCAGTTCCGCAGAACCCAGCTCATGTTCCTCGTACCGATGAGGATTCGAATGACAAAGTGACACACACCAAGCGGACTAGTAAGAAAGCAGAGGAAGGTTTAACGGATGAGGAAGGAGATGTGGAATGGGCGGGTAAGT